ATGGTGAAGTGTCTGGGTAATCACCTACATTATCTTACCAAAATGAAGGAAATACCATGCATCAAACCAAGATTATATCCTACCTAATCCATAGCATTGTCTAAAGGATTATCATTACCCTTGCCAGTGTGTTTAAAATGAGCTTAATAGCATGAAATGTGTGTATGTGACAACAAGAAACACAGTGTAATCTAGCTGTGCTTAAAAAAAAAATAACTAGGTGTCTTATTATTTAACAACTATGTAATCAACTAATGTATCATGACAAAACCTGTACTGCTTAACTCACATGTTTATGTGCTGTAGTTGGGCACAATGCATATAATCACAACCATGTTGAGTTGTGAGAGTAATTAAATATATTTGGGACACGTGTACCTAGTGTTAAGTGCTGCGTGTTAGTATATGTGCATCTTGAAAGGATGGTTTTCACCTGGATTATAATCATGATTTATTCGTAATTTTTACAGCCTATCTTTCCTCTACGAGCTCTCCACTTTATTTTCACAACAATATGAAGTAGGTCATGCTGAGAATGAATGACTGGCCAAAGGTCATTCAGTGACTTTCATGCCTCATCTGACACTACACCATATGCATTATAAATAATAAATGCAGCAAGTCATAAAAGCAGCAGTCCTAAATGTATGTATTAGCAAGGTAACACAGCAGGGCTTCTAAATAAATATGTCATGGCCTGCTGCTCCATCAGTGACTCAATGCTATGTGATGATGGATCACTCAAGGACTGACAGCTGAATGTGTGAGCTGCCTTTCCAGGGTAATATGACGTGATCTGAAGTCATGCCAGGTGATATGAATGCCTTTGAAAGCTTATGAAAGATTTGATTGGTGATGATTGCTTTACAGAGGTGGTTCATCAGTTGATGTTTAGAAAAGTTATTTCATCCTCCCATAACCCCTACCCCCAATCAGCATGATACTGAGGTTTCTGGGAACTGTAGTCCAAAAAAGTAACTTTCTCAAGCCCTGCTTGTCAAGGGATTGAGAGAGAGCAACACATAGCAAAGACTAGACCCTGAAACATTGTGTTCGCTATTGCCAATGCTGCATATTTTGGAATCACAAGATCAGAACTGACTCCCTATCCCAGCCTGGGATACATGTACCCCCCAACGGTATGAACCAGAAGAAAGCCACAGCTACAGCTGAATTCCCAAGAGCTGAGCAGGGCTTTTAGGGGAGACAGGACTTTTCGAAGGTTGGTCATTCATAGGGTCACTATAAATTGAAGGCAATGCAACCGCATGTAAGAACAACAGACCACAATTGGAATTAGCAAATGTTGTACTTGAGGCAAGAATATAAAAATGTGTCCCCATCAGTCCATAAAAATGGCACAGAAAATGTGGTTGGAGGAAGTATGGGGCCATGAACCAGTGTGCTGCACAAAGCTTGAACGTCCCAAGACTTGGGCCATTTTGCATTTATAAGTCTTGTTCAATCATTCCTTATCTGGAGAAACTCATCAGTGGCTAGCTCCTCGCTTCTCTGTTGTTGCTTTCTACATGGGGAAATTGACAAATCTGCAAGACAGTCATTTATGCTTGAATGTAAAGTCTACACGTAAATAAGAAAGTGCTAAGTCCGTGAATGAGCAGGAAAATCTTCCCTGCAGACTTGTTGTTCGTTCATGTAGAAAGCAACAATGGAGAGGGGAAGGATTAGTATAGTGAGCGTATTTGGGTAGGAACAATGCACCCTGTTCCCAACAGCATGGCATGCTTGGAATAGCAGATTAATTTTTCTGGGACCCTCAGCTTTGCACATCTGAGGGCATAATCCCATGGATCATAAGAATCAAAGTTATACACATTCTGCTGCTATTTAAATCATTTTATAAATTTCAGTTCACATGACGCATGGGTAAAATTGATTCATTTGGCCAACTGATCGATTTTCTTTTCAACATTGCTGGCATGGGCTTTTTAAAATGGTGTGATCCTGGAATCACTTCTGTCCACATTAGTTTAGCATGTGTGAATGTTGCTGTCAATTCACCTTGCACCCACTTGTGTTTTTAGATCACCACACTTGTTCCCCTTTTTAAAATGCAAAGTGATGTATCGGTATTTTATCCCCCAAGAGTTTACTACTGCATCACTTTCATGTAACATTCATCCCTGCTCATCTATTCCCTTATCAATGTGGAGAAACACCCCATCTAGTGTCCTTTGAGAAATAAAGAACCCTAAAAAATAAAGACCTGTCAAGGGAAACCTTGCATTATGAAACATCCTCTAATACTGTCTTCTAAAGTTTTTCACACAAATTTAAATGCTGCTTTAGCGATATATCATTAATGTATTTTTAACAACAACAAAAATGTGATTTTAGAGCAGCATGCTCCTGAAACAGAATGGAAAATGAGTCAATTTCACTGGGATAGTATGCAGAGTTAGCAAAATCTGTTCAAAGTTCAAGAAATGTATGGAAAACAAAGAGCCATGTGAATGCACATATAGCTTTATATACTATCTGACTAAACATAAATATATATATTGGTGTAAATGCACTAGGAAATTGAAACAATTCAAATGGTCTATGTGAATGGGCCTTCACTTGCCATGTCATTGCTATTGCTCTGCACTAAACCCATTGAAAGGTAATCTTTTTCTCAGTGGTGGGAAAATTGGACTTGTCATAAATTGTACTTTATTTTTTATTGGAACCCCTAGATCTGCCAGTCATAGCCAATTGCAAAATCAGAGGCCAGCGACATTAGCTATGTACCACATCCTGTAAATCATATTCTTCAAATATGAAAATATGTCCAAGATCCTGTAAATCACAGACTCTGATGCAGAGTATCAGATTGACATTTTTCAGATGATGGACCTGGAGGCTTGGAGTGATTAACATAAGGTCAGCCATGGCAGAGATGCTTTACTCACCATTGTTAAAATACTGAGTCACAAACCCTTGCTGACCTGCTGCAAAATCCTTGAAATTTACCAGGATCAGTGCACTAAATATAGCATTTGCATAATATCTTGAAGACCAAAATGACTCTGGAATGTTGATAGATGTTTTCTGATGCCTTTGCTCACCAGAGCTTTAGGAGTGCACTACCATATCTTTATGTTGTTAATCACTTTACTTGTTTAAAGCAAGATTTTTTGAGCACAAAACCTACTTCCTTGGATCCTTGAAAGCTTATGCCATAGATGAATGTGTTAGTCTTAAAGGTGCCACATATCTCTATGCGGTCTTACTGCAACAAACATGGTTCTCCCTAGGAAATCATTCAAACCAATGTGAAGAAGTTTCTTCTGAAATGTTGTTGTTGCTGTTTAGTCGTTAAGTCATGTCTGACTCTTCGTGACCCCAAGGACCAGAGCACTCTTCATGACCCCAAGGACCAGAGCACGCCAGGCCCTCCTGTCTTCTACCGCCTCCTGGAATTGGGTCAAATTCATGTTGGTCGCTTCGATGACACTGTCCAAACATCTTGTCCTCTGTCGTCCCCTTCTCCTCTTGCCTTCACACTTTCCTAGCATCAAGGTCTTTTCCAAGGAGTCTTCTCATGAGATGGCCAAAGTATTGGAGCCTCAGCTTCAGGATCTGACCTTCCAGTGAGCACTCAGGGTTGATTTCCTTTAGAATGGATAGGTTTGTTCTCCTTGTAGTCCAAGGGACTCTCAAGAGCCTCCTCCAGCAGCACAACTCAAAAGCATCAATTTGTTGGCAGTCAGCTTTCTTTATGGTCCAGCTCTCACTGCGCTTCTAGGCAACCTCAGCATGGTGACACATGAATGGGGAAGGTTGCCCTTAACATGTTTTCTAAATGAGTAGCCATGTTGCAGCAAAACTAACAAAAGAACCCGGTGGCATCTTCATGACTGATGTGTTTATTATAGCACAAACGTCTGTGGACTTTAGCCCACTTAGATGTAAACGTTACCTTCTTTCTTTTGGTTGGAAATTGCATGCTGCTCTTTAAAATGCTCCTCTTTAGTCTCTGGGATATAGAGCATAGATGGATTAAGGAGTTCTGCTGAGATTCTCTGTTATAAATGTGAAAGAAGATCATTGCTATGTCAATGAAACACAGGATCAGAAGAAAAAAGCAAAACAAAAAACAAATGTGGTACCTTCAAGACAATCTCTCTCTCTCTCTCTCTCTCTCTCTGGTGGGGTTCTTACAGTTTTTGAAAGCTACTCTTTTGAAATGGATCAGAATGGTGATAGGCAATGTTTGAAAGACATGAGACTATTGCATAGCCAGTGTCGGGCACTTGCTGCCCTCTAGTGCTAAAGACAGTGTCTTTACATACTAAAAGGAAGTGATAGCTTATCATAGAGTAGGAATGTAACTCATGGCTTCATAATAATTCATGAAAACAAGAAAATATTTTTCTGCTCTCCTGGAGATAGATCGTTATTTTCTGTTGGTCTCAACAGGGGTGGGGGAAGGATTTGTGAGAATGACTTTTGTGCAAATCATGTTACTAGGCTTCAGTAATGGCTGCCCTGCGGCACCAACTTTTAAAAATTGGAAGCACCAGATGGGTTGTATCTTTTTAATCCAGCAGCTAACCCTTCTGGGTTTGCTGTTTGTGTATGCTTGGCTCTTCAGAAGGCAAGCACACAGGTTTTGTGCAGATACGTTTTGCACAAAATACTGAAACATTGACAAACAAAAACAACTTTCTCTCTTGCTCTTACCTCCAAGAAAGAACTCTCATAAGGACTAGAGAATCTTTGGCTGTATGTCTCTGCAAGTTGAGATGGCTTGACACATCAAGAATGAGTAATTTAGTGACAATTTTGTGCATCCTTAGGCCAGAAACAGGTGTCTTTCGAAAGAGACATGATTGTCTGTTCCATGTTTATCCTTTTCACATTTTTGCAGAGGTTACATTGCTCTGTATCCAAATTCGTAGGTAACTAGCTACAAATAACAAGTTACAGGTGCTGGGACTCATATGTTGAACTCTTTAATCTTGTGTTACCTTCCATCCCTTATTGGCAATCAGGTATCGCACCTTCTTCAGACCCAGGTACAAGATTGGCTACAAGACCGTGACAGAGATAGCATGGAGATGCTGCCCAGGTCTCATTGGAGAAGTGTGTCATGATAGTCCTACTGACCAGCCAGGGCTTCTGCCACAGCATCCCAGCCCCAAAATACTCCCTACACAGAAGATGTTCCCAGGTCCTAGAGTTCCCCCTCATCCCAAAATCCATGCAGAACCATATCCAGGACCAAAGAAGAACCACTATGGTGAGTGGTAAAACCTTTATTTGTGATAATTTGTATGTTCTGTTCAAATAATCCATGTTTGATTCCCTTTTCAATGATGTCATCGGCATGAAACATAACATGGCTACCTTTATTTGTGATAATTTGTATGTTCTGTACAAATAATCCATGTTTGATTCCCTTTACAATGATGTCATCAGCATGAAACATAACGTGGCTGGTCTTTTGATCATAATAAAGTTTTATCTATCTATCTATCTGTCTAATGACTAAGGTCAAAATATATGAGACTCAGAGCTTGGAAATTTAGATTTAATGTGCCAACAATAAAGTCACTATTTTTGGATTAAGAAATAAAAATATGATCTACTTTTAAGAAAAACTTCAAAAATACCATTAAAATATCAAAAATCTTACTTTAAAATTTTTATTCTTTAGATACATCTGTTGATTCATTCTCCTATCTAATGCAAAATTAATGACTGTAATGTTAAGACATTGCAAGAACATGTTATTTCCAAGCTCTGATGATATGTGGCAGAAACAGATACCTATGTGTTGAAAGCCATTTTCTTATAGTACGTTCTTCCATTAATCATGCATTTCAGCAAGCTGACTTTATTTTGTGAAGTTAATTAAAGATAAACATTCACTTGAAGATAAAAATTCCCCCCTCCCCTTTTGATTGTTCAGCCATGTATATCCTCAAAAACCATGCAATGTAGTGAGAGAACAGCCTACTGCCAGATAAGACACATTTCTCCAAATGCTTAGGTTGGGAAACAACTGACATTTGTACCAATGAAGAAAATTCTTGAAAGGAAGGGTCGGGTTCATAAGACAAACTTAGTAGTTTTAGAAGAAGTAGCTGTGTTAGTCTGTGCTAGCATATTGGACAAAATAAAATAAAAATAAAGAAGACAAAAATGTGACACCTTAAAGACTAACTGCTATATTTGAAAGGTCTTGTCCAACAAAGATCACATAAAATTGGTCTTCAATTTGGTCTTTAAGTTGCCACAATATTTTTGTCTTCTTTATTATTTTATTTTGCTTTTGTTTTTGCCTGATAAGTCAAACTTAGTTGAAGATACCCAAGTCCTATTGTTCCTTAACATAAAAATAAATTAAATGCATTTTTAAAATTATTTACTATTGCAGTAAGCAAGAATTTCTCATTTGAGAGAGAAATTGATCAGTCAGTTAGCCTGTAACTCAAGGAAGATATGTAGATCTACCATTAGCTCTTTTCTATGAGCAGAAGCTGTTTTTTTACACCACTCTTCATAGATGCTTCTGTTTATGATGATAGCCTAGTTCTAGGTCATATATTATGCACAAATAAATTCACCACAGGCATAGTTGTTGTGGGTTTTTCGGGCTCTTCGGCCGTGTTCTGAAGGTTGTTCTTCCTAACGTTTCACCAGTCTCTGTGGCTGGCATCTTCAGAGGACAGCACTCTGAGTATTTTGTTGGCAAGCTGCTTGATTCGTTATGAAAAGGAGAGATGATGAAGCTGCCATGCTACAAAACAGAATCAAGAGTGATATTGATTATGGCTCCTCTTGACCTCTTCTTGTTCATAGGTCGAAAAATGCCTGGTTTGTTTGGAGATAGACTGGACCGGCTAGAGGAAGAAGTCAGGCGTCTCTCACAATCCTATGACAGTCTACACACCATGGTAAGCAGCCTAGGAGACCACTTGCGACTTGCCATCCAGGAGGACACCAGTAAGATGATAGGATCTTTGATGAACAGCCCAAGTGTGCCTGATTCAACAATGGGATTTGGAGTAATTCCTGATGGGATTGTGGATGCAGCAGACAAAGCTGACCTTTCCCCTTATCCACCTGTGGGAGAGATCTTAAGCAAAGTCACTGCGGTGAGTGATACATTGAAAATCAAAACTGACCTACTAGAGGAGGTGCATGGCATGGTCTTGGACCACGATGGGCAGATTAAACACTTGCTGGAATCAGCCCGACCTTCTCCCCTCACTTCCATTGATATGCTAGAAGAATATGTGGACAGCAGGCTTAGCAACCTGCGGGTGGAGCTCCTGGATGGTTTTGAAAAGAAACTGGTGAACATCCAAAGCACATGTGATTTCCGGATCAAGGAAGTGCAACAGCAGTGTGAGGAAGAGAAAGCTGCCAACCTCCGTCTTCAGCAGACCTTGGACGGCAAGGAACTGGAGATAAAGAAGGAGATCTCTCAGCTGGAAACACAGATTCAAGGCCTGACAGTTGTGGAAAGTTGCTGTAGCAACTTGAACTACCTCACGAAACGAATGGATATTTTAGAGAAGGGTCTTCACAGTATTTCTGAATCTCAGAAGAATCTACACTCCAGAATGGACAGTGAACTTTCCACTGTTGCCTTGGGAAGTGTCTTTGAAGGACGCTTTGAGGACCTTGAAGCCAGGCTGAATATCACAGAAAGAGAAACAGGAAGTTGTTGCTCCACAGTGGAGGACAACATGAGAGGTCTTCTGGGATCAGAACTGGATGGCACAAGGACCTTGTTTGATGATAAAATGAGAACCCTGGAGGAAAGATTCATGACCATTGTAGGAGATGTGAGTAATGTTAGCTCTACGGTGGGAATAGATGGAGCTGTAATGCCCTTCTTAGAGGGAGAGCTTGCTAACATAAGGAAGGAAGCAGATGAGAAAATGGAAGTAATACAGAGCCAGATGGTCACCCTGGAAAATACATGCTTGCTGGGATGTGCATCCACTTCCAAAGATGTTGAGATATTTCGTACAGAAATTGAAGACTGCCAAAGCAAGAACCAAGATTTACTACTGAGGATGGACAGCAACTCTGACCTATTGAAAAAACTCAACGCTACCATCCTGGAGATTCAGAGACGGATCGAGGAAGAAGCAGCTGGGTCCTTGCAAGGGGAGATCACACTGCTGAAGATCAACCTGAATACCGTGAGTAAATCTCTAACTGGTCTAAAGGATTCTGTTTCCCAGTATTCTGACACAGTGCTGCATGTCAACTCATCTGTGGATCAACGTGAACGCAAGATAGAAGATGAAGTCCATTCCATCCAAGAAAAAATCAGTGACCAAGGCTCTCAGCTTCTGTTCAGTAACAAGCGTGTCCTAAACCTAAAAGGAGACCTTGAAAGGCTTAAGTCCAGAATCACCAATGACTTGAGCAACTGTAGGAATGCAGCTCTCAGCCTGCAGAAAGAAGTGCTCCAGTTTGATGGCCGTGTGGCCCAAGTGGAGGATATGTGTGGCAGACTGGGCACGATGACGGGAACCCTGGATCACATCAGAAGTGAGATGGAGAATAATGCAGGAAGTCTGTGGGGCTACATGGACCACATGAACGAAACGTTAGCGGCCCACTCTCAGGAATTAACTGTGCTCAAGGATAATTTGCTGGATTGCCAGGCAAAAGTCACAGAATTAGCTGAAGACATCAGCCTCTTAGAAAGCAAGCTTCAAGGCACTCAGCATTAGCTATAGGGAGCCCAAAGAACAACTAACTTATACCATGTGGACTCCAGTGTGACGGTGCCAGGATTTTATTTGTGTTTTGGAGGGGTGAGGGAAGGTTACTAAATGTTAAAAGCTGCTATAATCCTTTCTTTTTCCTATGAATGACACTTTTCACTACAGCTTAAGCTGTACATTTGCCATTACTGTACTCTCTGTGGATACTGAGCAGCTGTACTAATGTAGCAAAGTGCCTTCCCATAGATGGGGCCATGTTTGGATTACATTTCCAATATGTGGTTCAGTTCAGGAAGAAACTGGAGACAGATGTGTCGGATGGACTCTTTGCTTTGGGAATAGTTTAAACCCTGCTATTTAAGAGCTGGGAAAGGAGAAAATCAACTCCTGACGAATATATTAATCCACAGGAAGTTAAGGTCTGGTTCAGGGACCATTCAAAACAAGACCATCCGCTACAAGGAAACGGATTTCAGCTGAGACATATTTTTCCCTTCCACGTTGAATAAAATCTAGACTGGAATTCTTCACAGCAATATTGACTGGGGCAAAGATGTGGGACATATAGGCAGAAATCAACAGGGATTGTATGAGTGCATTCAGTAATACCGCTCAGCGCACAATCAGCTCTCCCATGCCACTCCTGTCTTGGTTACATAATTCATACCAATTTCTCCTGTTGGTGTCCTCAAGCACTGTGTGCAGTCTGCTGTTTGCATGGACAAAGGCATGATGGGGGAGTGCAGGATCCATCGACTTCGTAAACAGCTTCTTGCAACTCTGGGGAGCAGAGGCAGAGAGCACATGCAGCTATAATAGTGCTAGCTGTAGTCACATTGTGCTCTTACACAAGGGGTGGTAAGAAAGTAGGGGTAGGGAAAGTTTTAAAAAATTGGATTGTTCTTCCCAGAATCCATCAAACAAAATCCTGTGTTGTCCGGGGGATTCTGGAAGCTGTAGTTCAGAAAAACAACATCCACATTTGCTCCCTGACCATGTAGGAAAAAGGAAGAAAGGAAACTTCCTGGTGTAAAAAATAACTATGGTTTGGTTTGGTTTGTTTAATTCAGAGCATATTTGAAAATGAAATCTTTCTCAGGGGCACCTCTTGAGCAACCAGTTATAGTCCTGTTTATATTGTACTTATTTATCTGGAAGATATATACCCTACTTTTCAACAAAATGGTTCTCAAGACAGCTTCCCAGTAGAAGCTTATAAGAATGCAACATGCACATCTAAACCCACATAGGTTCTCTGGCCAATGGAGCATAACATGCATCCCTCCAGATTTGCAGTATGAGGGCAACTGGCAAGCAAAGCAGCATGTTCTTTCAAGAGCCTAGGCATTTTAATCCAAAAAAACTTAACCTTTCCAAGTTGCCTCTCTTTTGGACAGGCGAATGTGTCCTTGGCATAATATTCTTGTTGTGAAGGTGCAGCCGCTCGTAAGCCCTTGGTCTCCATGTCAACGGCTGGAACCTGAGTGAGTAGCAAAAAGGAATGACTAGAATGTCCATTTTGTATTTTGCTAAAAACATACTAAACTCCCTCTTCCTGAATCAATATACACACTATAATTAAGATGCCTTTCAGCATTCACACTTGTCACAATTGTGTGATGCAGCTATCTGGCCTAGCCAGTGTAAACAAAGGGTTGAAAATGCACATAAAACCATGTAAAATTTTAAAATCAAAAAAGGGGAAGGAAAAAATAGGAAATTTCCTTACACTTCTTTAAAAAGCTGCAAACTGATATATCAATGGAATAAAATTAAAGTAAGGATCAGGAAATTGTGAAATTGAGAGAACCAGAATGTACGGATTCATCCATTCCTGGTTGTAAAATACTATCTAAGGAATGTAGGATTAAAACTGCATGTTCAAGAGTGCTCCAGGGCAAGAACTCATCTCAAAACACATTCAGTTCAGTAATAAAAAAAATTCCCCATGTACTTTTAAAGGTTTTCTTCTTTCCTTTTTCCTATGATTGTGGCCTTCTTTCTCTCTTTGTTGTTCCCTATAGATTACAACCGCCATGTAAAAGTTTACATTAAATTACTAGGTACGGCAGCTGTTGTTACATAGCTTAGAGAATCATAGCCCATAAACACCTTGTCATTTAATGAGCTTTACCTGGAACAAGGTGGATTGGCTTCATGAAATATCTTCAAAAACAGGATGGGAAGAATTTGAGCTTTTAGTAAATTGGGAGAAAGCAAAACTAACAAATTAGTCCATTTCTAGCTGACAGTTATATCCCATCTTTCTCCCAATAAAGGGATTCAAGATGGCTTGCAGAATATTTTTGAAAACAGACACAATCAGTTACCTGAAGCCTCCAGGACTAGAAATATTCTTTTCTGCTTACAGAAGGACTAGGAGGAGGAGGCCACTTTGGCCTCCCTCAGGAGATATTTCCACAAAAGGCCCTGTCTTGTATCCTCACCAGGCATTCCTGTGAAGGTGGTGGGACTGAGAGGCCTGCAGGAAAACCTTAAAACCTTGGGAGCTGATCAGAGCCTCAAAGGGGCTATGGTTGATTGGGTTGTGAACATTATTAATTCATCACTGAGGGAGGGAATGCTTCTTTCCCACTTAAAAGAAACCATTGTCCGACCCATCATCAAACACCCCCAGTTAGCCTTGGACAACCTTAAAGATTTCTGTCCCATCACTAACATACCATTCCTGGTCAAGGTGATTGACGACCCATCATCAAACACTCCCAGTTAGCGTTGGACAACCTTAATGATTTCTGTCCGATCGCTAACATACCATTCTTGGGCAAGGTGATCGATAGAGTGGTGGTGAATCAGCTGCAGTCATACCTGAAGAAGCAGGATTGCCTTGATCCATTCCAGTATGGATTTGGGTTGTGACAGAGTACTAAGACGATACTTGTTGTGCTGCAGGATAACCTTTCAAGGGAGGCTGACAGGGGCAGATACATCCTGTTGGTACTCCTAGATCTCTCAGCAGCTTTTGATACTGTTGACCATGGTATCCTCCAGGACGGGGTCTCTGAGGTTGGGAATTGGGGGCTTAACATTGAGCTGGCTCTCATCCTTCCTCGAAGACCATGTCCAGAGAGTTCAGCTAGGGCAGGAGGTGTCGGCACCTTGTACCCTTTGGTACGGGGGTTGCTCAGGGATCAGCACTCTCCCCAATGCTGTTTAATATCTATGTTAAGCCATTGGGGGAGGTCATCAGGAGATTTGCGGTAGGGTATCATGATGACATGTAGCTCTTATTTGTGCATTACCCAGGTTACTTGTCAGAGCATCTCTCCTTAATGTTATCTGTCCAACCCACAAGATCATCCCAGTCGAGTCTTCCCCAGGTGGCCACTCCAAGGGAGGCCCACAAAGGTAAGGTCTTCTTTGTGGTGGCTCTAACTCTGTGAAACCAGCTTCCAGAGGAGCTCTGCCTAGGCCCTTCCATGTGGACTTTTAGGAAGCAATTAAAGACATTGTTTTTCAGGGAGGCTTTCCACACCGACCCCAGCTGACTACCTCCCCCCTCCATTTTTTTTTCTTTTTCTTTCCCCTCCTCTTCTTCCCTTTCCTCTGTCCACTCTGGGAATAGTCAGTGCCACCTAGCTTTTTTAGGGTTATTGCTGTTTGTTTTAATATCTCTATTTTTAGTAATTTTTGACTACAACTTTCACAATTCACTAAGCAGCTCCACTGGTGATTTCAAAGAGCTGCAGTCTTATCAGTTTTCCCTCCTCTAGATGTAACAAGGAAGTTATTCTCTGTATGGAACCATTTCCAACCAGGAAACTACTGCAGCATCTTTGACTATCTGTACTTTTCCGAACTTCTGAAAGACAAATAGAATACATTAGATTAGTGCTCTCTGGAGGTAACTATGTCTGACCGGATCCGATACCTCCAGGAACGGGCATAGCTGGTACACTGGTTTTAACTGTGTAGGTCCACGTCTCATTATTGCCAAGACATAGACATCCACATTGAAGGATCAATCCGAGAATTCACCCAAGCTATGAAGCTGACAGACGTGTCCATCTCTTTCTGGCAGTTTCTCCCCTGTCCTGATGAAGAGTTCTCCTCCATATAGGTGTTAAGGACCAGTTTCCACAGAAACAGCCGAAGCTCGTGCCAACTTTCAGATATATTCATGATGATGTGCAGAAAAGCAGACCTTGGAAGAGTGACTGTTTTGGACCACATCCTCTAGAATACTCCAGTCACTATGGCCAAGTTCCTAAACAGAGAGAGAGACAAAGAGAGGGAGGGAAGGAGGGAAGACAACATTGATACAGATTTTTACAAGCTTCCAATGAATGACTGAAGCATTGTGAAGAACACCCAGAAGTGAATGATCCCAGGGAACATAAACCAGACATCCATGCAAGCTCACAAAACACTTACAAGCAGCTGTAGGTGAAGGAAATGCTGCAGGCTGTGCACAGGTCACTTCACCAGTATGTTCCTTCTTGTGATTGTGAAAATAAGCAGTGAGTGCTCATGTGAGGAAACAAACAACAGTACGAACCAGCCCAGGGACGGCACTGGTGTCCGATTTGATATTTGGGGTCAGGTCACATAGCTGCTGGATAGATATCTGGCACACAACAGGGACCCGTGGTCTCATCCCCATTCTTCTCCATCTTGTATAACACAATGGGCCAGAATTGGAGGAAGTTACTTTTTTTTAATAGAACGGCCCAAATCTCACACAGCCAGCATAGTAAATGACTATGGTCGCCAGTGTCCATGTACGCTGAGACTTGTACTCTGAAAAGTAACTTTTCCAAACTCTGTGCTGGGTATAGAAGCTTTTTTGCTGCCATAGTCATATATTCAACTCCCCTTGTGTGTGATAGGGAAGGATTGCAGGATTGCAACGGGTCCTACCACTTTGCTCTCCATGGCTCTTTTAAGGAGGACTAAGGTAATGCACACGCAGTACTTTGGACTGAAGTCAACAACATCATTTCTAGAAGTGATGCTATTAAAATAGTGATGCGCTCTGACCACACTTCTGCAGGCTGTCTATGCAGAAGCCTGCTTGGGGTCCTGTAGGACTCAATCCCCAGCTTCACACCTTGCAGGAGTGTTAAGACTCCAGTTCCTATAAATCCCTCGCCAGCTCTGCTGTTGTAGGATCAAGGGGCAAGGCCATGCAATGGGCCAAGCAGATGGTGCTTTGCAGTTAGAAATAGTGGGGGAAATCATTTACTTCACATTTTAACAATGTGACAGTACCTGTGCTTCATGAGCAAAAATACAAAAGGATGTACAGGTACATCCCCAAGTGCAGGACATAAAGATGTGTGCTGAAGCTATAGGAAGCCAGATTTAGGCCAAATATTAGGGGGAAAACCTGTTAGAACAGCACAACAATGGAACCAATTACCTCAGGAGGTGGTGAGCACTCCAATGCTGGATTCCTGCAGTGAGCAGGGAATTGGATTTGATGGCCTTATAGGTCCCCTTTCGACTCCATGACCCTATGATTCTATGAGTTTGCCTTTAATTTTCTCCTACCTTTGATCATTCTGATGCATTCAATGCCAAAACTGTGCACAAAATACATATATTAAGGGGAATCACTTCCAACTATTGTGCATGTTAAGACTCATGTGTGCACCAATGTATGCACAATTTTCTCCTACCTTTGATCATTCTGATGCATTCAATGTCAAAACTGTGCACAAAATACATATATCAAGGGGAATCACTTCCAACTATTGTCCATGTTAAGACTCATGTGGGCACCAATGTGTATTTCCATACACATGAAGATGAATTTCCACGTGGAGCTAGACAATCTTTGCAAGTACAACCTCATGAATCTGTGCCTGAAAAAGAATACCTTTGATCATTCTGATGCATTCAATGTCAAAACTGTGCACAAAATACATATATCAAGGGGAATCACTTCCAACTATTGTCCATGTTAAGACTCATGTGGGCACCAATGTGTATTTCCATACACATGAAGATGAATTTCCACGTGGAGCTAGACAATCTTTGCAAGTACAACCTCATGAATCTGTGCCTGAAAAAGAATCATCATTGTGGAGAGTGGAAAAAAGTCAGACTTGTCCATTCCTAATTACAATCTTGTCCCTTAGGCCAGTGGCTCCCAGTTTTGGAACCCCAGATGATCTGTTGGAGTCCAAGGTGTACAGGCAAGAGCTTCAGGGAGCTGTAGTCCAACATCATCTTGGATCCCAGTTTGGGGAACTATTGTCCTAAACAAACCACTAATTTTTTTCATTTTCAGAGTGAATGGAGAAAGTAAAGCCATGCATTCAGAACTCCCCTTTCCTCACATTAGGGGTTGACCATGTCTGTGATGACTGCAGTCAAAAAGAACCACATATGTTGTCTACTTACATAACTCGTTATTGGGTTCCATCTCTCAGATGCTGTGGAACAAGGGTAGAGAACTCTGAGGCCCACTTTTGTGATTTTTGTTAAGTCAGGATAATTTAGTCTCTACATCATCACAAAAAAAGAGAATGTAGTTGGAACTCTGTAATGTTTATCAGTAACCCTCTTCTTTCATTCTGAAGCCAGAACACATTCTCTTCTTTTCTTTCTGCATCATATCTGTATTACATTTCTCAGTTGTCCGTTTTTTCCTTTCAGGCTTTTGGTATTTTGCCCCGGGGGGGGGCTCTGCTTCTATCCCCCATCTTTCCCTCCACAAATTCCTATTTCTCTGCCTTCAGGGTCAAATGACACATTAAAGCATATGTGCATTTCTTCCTCTCACAATGTTGTTCCCTCCAGGGAGATAGATCTTTCAGAGCTATGCATTGAAGATATCAGACATGCAAATAAAGCCATGCTCTCTCCCCATTGAACAATTCTGGGAAATGGAATCCAAAACACAAAACTGCACATCTCTAAAATGTAACATGCTATGCCCTGGGTGCTTGGACAGGTGACTCACCAGTGATTCTACTATATATAAGTCAGACATCATCTTGAAATACGTAAAAGTATGCCTTAAAAAGCAATCTCCTTATTTAGAATTCTGTGACAGCAAATGGAAACTGTATTGTTGTATGGCTAATTACCTGTAAACCAGGAGAGGGAGGGAATACCAGTCTGTGTTTATCTCTCAACAATGGTGCTAATGTTTGCGTTTAGTTTGTAACCAGGAACTTGAAGATCTTGACAATTTTTATAGTTATCTGTTTTTGGATGGCAGCATTTAAAAGGCTTAATTACTTTGTTATTGTTGTCAAGAAACAGGGCATTGTGTGTCCTAATTGAAGAAGAAAGTCAACTTTGGGGAGGAGGGGGAGGGGTTTGCTGTTCCTGTTCGGCTTTTGCCGGTGCTGGTAATAGATCATTTTTAGCCCAGTGTGTGTGTTATTTTTTTTAAAAAATATATATACTGTACATTTGTTCAGATTGTTAAAACTGAAAGACAGCTTGTATGGGAGGAGGGGGGAACTTTCACCATGCTTTTCAGAATTCCATGGCTGTATTCTTCTAAACATAAAAAAATCAAAATGTGCACAAGAAATACAGAGCACACGACTTAATGAGAAAGTGAAAAATGACTGACCTGTGAAGAGTCTATGGACAGAGTGAAGAGTTAGGGAACAGTTCCGGAGGATGGTGAGAGTTCAGGGTGTTTGTAGGAGGAGTAAATTTGTTACTGTTTGTGAAGGGACTACAAAAACTTCTGTTTAGACAGGCCACTTATGAACCACTTAAAAAGGAGGAAATTGAACATCTAAAATGGGGCAGAAAGTGACAAGTATTTGCATACAGGATGATGATAAGCGTAAGGTAAAGGTAAAGGTTCCCCTTGACATTTTTAGTCCAGTCGTGTCCGACTCTAGGGGGCAATGCCCATCCCGTTTTTCAAGCCGTAGAGCCAGCGCTTGTCCGAAGACAGTTTCCATTGTCATGTGCCCAGTGTGACTAGGGAATGCCGTTTTACCTTCCCACCGAGGTGGTACCCATTTATCAACTCTCATTTGCATGCTTTCAAACTGCTAGGTTGGCAGGAGCTGGGACAAGCAACGGGAGCTCACTCCGTCGCGTGGAGTCGATCTTACAACTGACGGTCTTTTGACCCTGCAGTACAGGCTTCTGCATTTTAGCGGTTTAAAAAAAAATACTGGGAACATACCACTTCCCTCACAACGCAGTATTTTGTGTTTTGAACTGTAGCTTTCGTAGCTTGGTTTCATTCCCTTCTTCTGGATTCAAAAAATATGCATGAAATTACACTAGCATATAATTCTATCTTTGGGATGAAGATGAAGACATGTCAGTCTAGTGGTTTTCTTAAAATCCTTAGAATCCCCTGAGCCAATGTGGTTCTTTAAGTGTGGGCACATAATCACTGCTTATTATTAATTAAGCATTTGGGCTTTTAAAGCCAAGCAGTGTGGAAAATAAACCAACACACTATTTCCATGTTTCACTAGCAGTAACTTAATATTCCTCTAAGGGCAAGAATGAGAACATTGATGGTCTTCACCTCCTGCCACCTCTATTAATAAGCTTTATAAAGTACTGCTTGGTTTCTGGTGGCCAAAAGGGGAAAGAAACAATCAGTGGACTGTTCAAAATCGGTGCTGGTTCTCATCGGCCCTTTCGCAGGCTAATGGCTCCTGCTTTTTACCAGCAAGACAGGTTAAACCTGTAAGCACAAATGTCTTGTTAAACAGAGTACAGGGGCAAAGCTAGTCCAGCCATGCTGAAACCAGGAATCTCCCAAGAGATCCTTTTACCCAAGACTGCTTCAAAAGAGAGCTTTGAGCGCACACAGTTTGGATACCGGGGTTTGTTTCCAGTTCTGCAGTGCCATGAATGCCAAAGTTAAATGAAGAGATATAATCCATTTTAAGACATGTAGGAACATCCCCTTGAAAGCAAACCGGTTGTGTGGACAATTAAGAAATTTTGCCTCCTAGCCTTAAGCATAGAACAGCAGGAGAAAACTCAGAGGTTACGATATAGCTCTGTTCCTCAAAAGATCAAGGAGTAACATGGGGCAATACACTTGTTACACTCTACAAATGCAGGTAAGGAATATCTATGTTCAGCAGTTCCCATCTCTGGAAACCTTAGTACAGTATTTATTCACATGGGTATTTGTATAGTTCCTGTCATTTCAAAAATAAACATTGCTTAGATAGTCTCGGCCTGTCACAATCTATGTACGTATATAAAACAAAATTTCTTAGAGAACCCACTGCCATCCCATTTGAAATCGCAACAGAAGGAAAGTATGTGTGAGGTAGAATATAAATTGATGTCCTAAGTTAAAAGTAGCTCTCTCATCTTCATCAAGTTTACAGCACCATAAATGATGTCTGAAGGAGGTAGGGAACTTCCCTGATGTCAGGAAAATAAGTGGAGACTCTCGGGAATTTTCCAGAATACTTTGCCACCATCTTCTTTAATTGTAGTCATTTACTTCTCTTTCCTATTTTCAGCCCCAATGCCAATCAAAGGAATAAAAGAAACTTGCATGCAGTTATCAAAGGGAAAATGAGTTGTTGGAGATCTTTGGTGTTGTCACATGCAATGCATGGCCAGGTACAAGCAGAACACATTATAGTAGGCCAGGACTACAGTTTTTCCAACAAGGGTGCATCTCTCAGGTTGCCAGAACGAACCCACCAAATATTTGTTCTGAGGGGTGCCACAGTGGTTAGGTTCTGTAAACCGAACATTGTTTTTCTCATTCACTGGCACTGCCATTGATTAAATGCGCCATTTGATAACACAGGAAGGACTGCCAAATGCTGCTACATTGAAGACAAAGAGGGGGGAAATTCAAGATCCAGGAAAAGCTCAGCAGCACCAAGGTTTCTTTCAAATTCAGAATTAAAAAACGGAAAGCCATAAATAACTATTTCAAAAAGGAGACAGTTTATCACAATGAAAAGTTCCTTTGAAAGCAGATGTTACTGGAATCAGACAGGCAAGAGACACAATTGTTTATGTAGAGCTGAAAGTAGTAGGACAGAGGTATCCAAGTCTTCTGGCCTACGCTCATCACTGGTCAAATGTCACACGTATGGCCCTGGAGAATTCATCTTGCTTGAAGTATTACAGAACCTCATAAGAGATTTTAGCAAGACACATACTATGTTCAACACTGCTTCTGTCACAATCACCTTCAGCAGTATGAGGAAGGAGAAATACACACACATTATCTGTCTCTGCAATTATGGCAGTTTAGTCCTACAAAACCCTGGGAATTGTATGTTAGTGTTATACTTTGGATCCTGTGCTTTAATTCAAGGGTGTGTGTTCTGAATTCTCTAGCACAGACTGCTACCGTACCACCATACCACAAATTCCAAAGTTCTGTAGGATGAATTGGATGAAGCCATAGCAATAAATGGCTTATTAAGCACAATCAGACTTGGAGAGGCAATCAGTAAGCATTCATGTATACTAAACCCTTAGCATCCAGAAACATAGTATGTCACTGGTGAATATCAGTCATTATCTAATAACAGTCATCCAGTGCAACCAGAGACATAATATGAAGCAAATAATTCATCTCACCCATAACATATCACACCACTAAAATAACCACCTCTAAGAGGTTCTCCCCACTTTTCCCTTCAAATCACATGGCTCTTATTTAAGCAATCAGCAAATGAGAGTGTGGGGGACCTGAATAATTTTTTTAAGGTTGTGGTTGTGGAAGGACTAACAACTTTTATTAACATTCCATCAAATTTCTCACCAACCATGGATAGAGGAGACAATTCAACTACTGAAGGACCTCATAAAGGCATCCATTTTGCAGAACAGGGGATGCATTCAGTCATACAGCATAAACAAGTTTGCTAAATCTTGGATTACGAGATCTCCTTTCCATTGAAAATGAAAGAAAATTACAGACGTAGATGCTCTTTCCCAGAGAAGCCTGCAGCCTTTCTGAAAGCTCAAGTATTTCACATAGTGGGGAAGTGTTGAAAAGTATGTTTGCTTCCAGTCCATCCTGCTAGACTCAAGGACCAACTTTTAAAGAGCCTTTGTGAAGAAGGCTGGTTCTGCATCATCAAGCAAAATCTTCAAAGTCAACTGTGGGAAGTGGAGATCTCCAGTAAGAGAACTGGCTGAACTCTGGGCAAGCCAAAGAAGCACTTGTATCTTCACCAATAGATGGAAAGAGGAGCTCTACCACCTCACCCAGCCGGCCATATCTAGAGGAAATGGGATACCAAAGGTTAAAGTAAGCAAGGTTTACATCCTTAGAGTCAGCCCTAGCCTTAGGCAGAGTGAGGCAATGGCTCCAAGCAGCAGATGCTGTGGGAAGTAGAGGTAGCCCTCATAAACCTTCTTCCAAGCTCCCCTGAAGATTCTATGATTCTATGTACCTATGACAGAGGAAAGAAATGTGCCACACAGCCTATTCTTTATCCCCTAAACTAGCCTGCTGGCACTGAAGTAATATTTCACTGCCAGTCCAGTTTGTCTTCCAGGTGGCATGGAGGGGAGAGTTGCCATTCTGTCCTCTGCCTAAAGCAGCAAGATATTGTAGGTTGATCTCACCTGCCCTCATCCCTGACCCTGGAGAATAGATCTTGGTTGAATTTTACTAAAGCAAGAAATGTCTCTCTCACACACAGAGCACTATATCTCTGTCTCTATTTCTAGCTTGATGTCTTCTCTTTATGAGACAGAACAGCTATGCTAATAACTATGGATATGAACTAGCACAAAGGTCAAAGTTGCTGGCTGGACAGCTCAGTGGTTTGGGTATCCGGCTGCAGAGCCAGAGGTTGGGAGTTTGATTCTCCACTGTGCTTCCTGGGAGTAGATCCAGCCTGTGCAAACTTGAGCAAGCTGCACTGTCCCAAGATGCCCCCGAAGAAGTGAACAGCAAACCACTTTTGAGTACTCTCTGTACAGAAAAACCTGAAAAGGGTTGCCACAAGTCAGAACTGACTTGACAGCGC